GTTTATTTGTTGTTCACAGAGGACCATCAGCCTAAAGACTGATCATTAGTGCTCTGACTGTTGTTCACAGAGGACCATCAGCCTAACAACTGATCATTAGTGCTCTGTTTATCCCTGTTGTTCACAGAGGGCCATCAGCCTAACAACTGATAGTGTTCTGTTTTTGTTCACAGAGGACCATCAGCCTAAAGACTGATCGTCAGTGCTCTGATTATCCTTATTGTTCACAGAGAACCATCAGCCTAACAACTGATCGTTAATGCTCTGTTTATCCCTGTTGTTCACAGAGGGCCATCAGCCTAACAACTGATAGTGTTCTGTTTTTGTTCACAGGGGACCATCAGCCTAAAGACTGATCGTTAGTGCTCTGATTATCCTTATTATTCACAGAGAACCATCAGCCTAACAACTGATCGTTAATGCTCTGTTTATTCCTGTTGTTCAGAGGACCATCAACCTAACAAGTGATTTAAAATCATGGTTGCAGGATTTTCAAGAGGAGATAAAACAAACTTTTCTTCTCACAAATACTAGAACCTGTTCCAATGTACTGTAGATGTCACTGGAGCAGGCAGGTATTGTTGGCCTTATCCCTGACTGAGACCGTATAATTTATTGTCTCTAAACTTCAGGAAGTATCTCACACATTGCCTTTAATTAAAGCAAGAAAAACATCTAATTCTGTATTTTATATCCCTTTATTTTTAACTTTATATCCTTTTTATCTTTAACTTTATGTTCTCATAAAATGTTGAAGTTGMTTTAGCTTTAAATAAGCTCATAAAAATGCAGCAGTCTGCGGGGTTAAAGATGTGCTGCCTGGGAGGATAATTTGCTTCTTTTTCCGACTTCTTTGTCGTCTCAAACTGAATTATCTGCTAAAGCCGGGTGTCTTATCGGTGCTGGGGTGCTGCATGGAGCGCAGCTGCTTTTCTGGGCCGACAGCAGGTCACTTTGAAAGCTGCCGGCTCTTCCTGTCCACAGCCGAGGGGTCAGGGAAAAGCAATTTGCATTTTAAGACGAGGGGAAGATTGGGAGCACTCCCATCCCGTCTCACACCTTCAGAATAAAAGACCAGATTAAAAAAATGGATTTATGATCCTCAGATTATTGAACTTTATTGTTGTGTCMTTGTTTGTCCTCAGGGTGACCCAGAGTTTAGTCAAAAATATAAAGTTCTACAGATTTTATCACGTTATGACCATGATTCAAAAAATGTCCTATTCTGGATTAACTTCAATAAATGTTGGTGTTTCTGGTCCATCTGTCCACAGATGTTCTGGTCCATCTGTCCATAGGTGTTCTGGTCCATCTGTCCATAGGTATTCACCTGTCCATAGGTATTCTGGTCCACCTGTCCATAGGTATTCACCTGTCCATAGGTATTCACCTGTCCATAGGTGTTCTGGTCCATCTGTCCATAGGTATTCACCTGTCCATAGGTATTCTGGTCCACCTGTCCATAGGTATTCTGGTCCACCTGTCCATAGGTATTCTGGTCCAC